GGTCGACGAGCTCACTTCTCGGACACTTGTCAAAGGCATCATCCCGTTGTCAGCACGCGGAGTCCGCAGAGCGAGCTGACATGTTACAGGTCGCGTGGACTTCGATGGAAGCGGACATGAAGGGGCGCCAGGTTCTCGGATACCGCGACGAGCACAAGGTAGAGTTAGTACGCCGCGATGAGAGGAGCAAGCTCGGGAGCGCAGCCTCTGGCGCGACTTTTGCGCATCATCCATTCGTGAACCCGTCTGGTCGCCGCGCTGGTGGACAGGAGTTCGCGGCGTTGCTGCCTGATGTGCGGAATGGCCACCTCCGGGCAGCTTGCGAGGACCTCGCCAAGGTGCCCCGCGCGAAACCCACGTCCAGGGACGCGGAGAGCGCCCCGAGGAAGCACGAGATCAAGCATTGGGGCGGGGCCCACGCCAAATGTAATTGAATCAGGTGGCGCGGGCGTTGCAAATGCAACCCCGCCAGCGGGCCCCCGACCGCGCGTCGGGCCCAAGTTGGGCTCGGCAAGGGCCCCAGGCGGGCAGGTCGGCCCAATCCTTAGGGGGGGGGCGCCAGATACGAGATATTTTGTTGCGCTTTGCCCCGTCTTCCGTCTGCTGCGCGCCCCCGACGCAGTAATCGGGTAATTCTGTCGCCCCCCCCCCCTCGCCCTCCCCCGCAAAGCGGATTGTTGCATTCCTGTCGTGTTTCCAAGTTTCATGCGGTGGGCGTTCAAGGCGGAGGGCCTGAACGTGCCTGTCGACGAGGAAGATTGGCCCCTGCTCGCCGGCATGGGGTCCGGGGCCGAAGAGGGTTTGAGCGACGCGGGAATTGATTCCTACGAATCGGCTGAGGTGGCCCGCGCAGCCTTGGCCACTGTGCTCGCAGCCCGTGGCGCGACGTCTCCGCGTGGTAGCGTTGGTGTACCTCCTGAGTATATTTACGGACTCGACGACTTGGTTTGCTTCATGTGCTTGACCACAAACAAAGAAGCTGTTGCCCGCAAGGTTTTACCGCCGCCAGCGCTCCCGGCGTCCGTCGTGCAGGATTTGGGGGTGGCTGCCTCCGTCGCAGCCCCTGGCGCGACAGCGTGCCCTGGCGAGTTTCGCTGCTACGCGAGAATCAGAACGAAAAACAGCGCGAAGCCAGCCATCGCCTCCATCTTGGCGTGGGTGTTCCAAGACATTTTGCTATGGACGCGCGCCCCCGCCGCGGGGGCACTGCGTCAATGTTGCCGAGCTTGGCGCGCTGGAGGCTTATATCTGGCTTGCGCGCTGTCTGGGAAGGGGCGGTGCGTCGCAGACTCTGTCGCGAGCATCTTGTCCTTCGATGCGAAAAACCCGCCCAGGCATTGCTTCAAGCAGGGGCTTCGAGCAGTTATATTATCCGCGCCTGGGCGCGCGCGTGGGACTTGCTCGACGGGCTCCCCCCGCGTGACTGTTTGGGCTTCGACGCGCGATTGTTGTCCATGGCTCTGGTCCGCATGGGCGTCAAGGAACACCTTCGGGGCGACGCGCAGGACGCGGTTGCCCAGATGTTCTTGGACGCAGGCGGGGAGACTCGCTTTCGAAGGGGGCGTCGTTTGCAGAGGTGGAGAAAGGTCAGCTTGCAAAGATCGAGTGCCATGTGTTGATGTTGGCGCCCAGCGATTCTGGCCTCTGGCGGTAATTCGCAGCCTCTGGCGCGAACCGGCATGGGGGCGGCCGTTGGGGCGGCTGCAGGGGGGCGATCAGCATTGCCTGATTATGTCTGCTGCAAGTGCGCTGGCTCGGGCAGCGGCGGCATTTGTAGGGCCGCTTTCAAGAGCTGAGCGTCGGCAAACGCGGCGCCTCCTCCTCCCCCTCTTCCTCCTCGCCCTCCCCCCCCCCCTCCTCCAACTCCTCCGCCTCTCCGCGCGCCTCCGCCAAGGCTGCCTGCGGGGCAAAATTCTTTTCATTTGATGTGTGAACTTATATGATTCGGGCGAAAGTGCGCGCTCCCGCCTTGGCGACGGTGACATTTTTGAAACGGTGGGCCGCCAATGCTGTAATTTTACACTCCAAACGCACATCGCAGAAACACTGGGTGACCTTGAAAACCGGCGTTTTTGACCAGGCCGGCTCCGAGGTGGCCGAAGAAGGCCCTAAGACGGCCCAAAAGGTTCCACAGAGGCCCTCAGGGACACCACCTTGTCGTATACCTCTTCTTACTACCAAGTACTACCACTCCTACTACTACTGCTACTACTACTACTACTACTACTACTACTACTACTACTACTACTACTTCTTCTACTACTACTGCTATACACTTGCACTGCCCACTTCTGTCCGCTACAGACCAACACAGGGAAAATCTGGCCAGTACCTACGGTGGAATTTTCACATCGAGCTTCACTCATAACGCACAAGAATGGTCGATACGGGCCTGATGGACATACAAACGATCGGTGGTTACACGTGGGTTGCACCCATCGTCTGCCAGTCGGCGAGCGGCAGTGCCGACGTCGAAGCCACGAGCGCACGCGATACGTGCGTGTTTCGTGCCTGGAGGGCACGTTGGCGGATCAATGTGTTGGAATTGGTTGCATACTTAAACTACGTTCGAAGAAAGTCCCGTTCATCGTGCTTCCAAAATCTACGCTTCATCCACGTTTTCGACAGTCAAGTGGCTTGTGCGGTGGTGGCAAAGGGGCGGAGCTCCAGCCAACGGCTCAACAGACCACGTCGCCGTTGACAGGGCGAGAAGGCAAACATCATTGATGCTCGTCAGGTTTTTGAAGGAATTTGCTTTCTCGGGGAGGTCCCGACGGGTTACCAAAAGCACCTGTGACCGTCTTGTGGTCTTCTTGGGGCCTCTTGGAGGCATGTTGTTAGCTATCTTGAGCCATGTTGGGCTGTCTCGAGCGATATTGATATTGGGCTCTCCGAGGCCCTCTTGGAGCCATCTTGGGCCGAAAAGGACCCCCTGGCACATCGCGACCGCCCCCGTCCAAGTCCAGGGGAGGGGATATGGGGGAGGAGTAAACCCCTCACGAAGGGGAAAAGGGGGTTTTGGAAAAGGGAGAAAAATCTCGTTAGGCCGCCTGTCGCCCAAAGGATGGCGGGACTTCGAGTCCCAGCATTACTATCATGTTTATTGCTAGTGCTATCAAATTTCACGGATCAAATGGTGACGCTATTGGCGTTTATGCGACCACAAATGCATCCCCTACACCTCTATCGTCCGCGCCGCTACTGCGATTGCGTCTATTACAATTATTACGACGACGGCGGCGACGGCGACGGTGACGGCGACGACGACGGCGGCGCCGATGCTTATTGTAATGCTTTTGGCCGTGGTGGACCGGTCAGGAGCCGCCGTTGCCTCCGCTGGGCGTTCTCCGATCATTCTCGGCCGCGCGCGCAGGGGCCGATGTGTCCGGCCCACGTCGTTGCAGAACCCCCAGGGCGAGTGGAACCCGGCGCGCCATGGTCGTTTCGGCGCGGCTGGGCCGCGTCGAGAGGTTGCGGGGGCCGAGCGCGCCGAGCGCAGCGTTTCCGAAGCCTTTCGTTTCTTTCTTCCGCCCGCCCCTGGCCGCCGCCCTTCTGCTCCCCCTGCCCCGCAGTCCCCGCCCCGCCAACCCCAATTGTCCCCCGCGCGCTCTGCCCTTTCCCCCGCGCCGCCCCCCCCCTTCCCGCCCTCCAAGGCCCCCCCCGCGCCCCCCTCCCCCTCCTCCCGCGCCTTCCCCCTCTCCTCGCCCTCCTCCTCTCTCGCGTCGGGCTAATGGAAAGGGGATTGGAAGGGGGGGGTTGTGCGAAATCCCCTGAGCGCAGCTGGTTTCGGCCCCGCTGCTGGGCGCTTCGCTGGATGCACAGACCCCCGGCGCCCCCGCTGTCCGACCCGATTGTGGCTTGCCCCCCACCTTTGGCAGTCGTGCCCCGCTAGCGCCGAGGCGACGCTGCCTGACCTGCGACGCTGGCTATCAGCGGGCACTTCGGGGGTCGATGGATCGGTCGAGGGCGGGGGATGGAAGGGCGCGAGGAAGCCTTTGTTGTGTTTTTTTATAATGAACTTTTCGGGAATTTGACAGGTTGGTCGGTTTCGTTTTCGGGGAGGAACCTTGACGGCATGTGCCTGGAGATGATGCGGGAGGACGAGGAGAATGAGGAGGAGGAGGAGGAGGAATAGGAGGAGGAGGGGGAAGGGGAGTGAGGGGAGGGGGATGATGATGATGAGGAGGAGGAGGAGGAGGAGGAGGAGGAGGACAGATGGGTGTTTGTGCTCAATTGCAGGGCCCAGGGACCATACATATCGATCTGGTTTGAGTAGTCGCGCTTGGGTTTTCCTTCCAGGAGGTTGGATGTCGAGATCCGTTTTTCGGAGGTCCCTGGAAGTTTCCAGAAGTCGCCAGAGTCTTCTGCGAAGCTGTATAGAGTCCTCAGGTGTTCCCAGGATCCAGACATCTTCGCGGACGATTCCAAAGACCAAGATGCGCAAACACCGGGATCAAAAGTTGGATCTTCGCCATCCTCGTCGATTTCTTGGACATCCCCCCATCCCTGTTGCTGCTGTTGCTGTGCTCCCTGCTCTTCGAGTCGGGCGGGATGGTTGGGTCGAGGGCGGACGGGGTAAGATACATCAACATTCGAAACGATATTTTGCTGAAGCGCCGCGCTCCCTGAGTTTTGCGGGGGGGGGGGTGGGGGGCACGACGATTGGGACGATCCCCGCTACCGAATGCAACCGCGCCAGCCCAGCAACGCCCCATCACCATTTTCCCGCGGCCAAGTGCGAGGTCCCCGCCCAGAATCTCGTCCTCCCCTCAAACGGACCCCGGGAAAAAGACACTCGTGGACTCGCACCGCCTTCTCACGTCACCCGAAAGCTCGACGGCGTTATTGCCGATGCTGGTTCCTGGAATGCGGACCCAACAGACCAATCGGAGTTTTCTTGTCTTGGGTAGGAGTTGGCGACAGCGGCCCTTTTCGCCACCCGCCTCCTGCCTTGTGTGTAATGCGTGGTGTTATGTTTCACACTGCCGCGTCCCGCCGAGGTCGCCTCCGCCTGGGTCTCGCACCTGCGCTCCTGGCTCACGCTGCCCCCCGACGCGCCAGTCCGGAACCCCGCGGGCGAGCCCCGCCGCCGCTGTCTCCGGAGGCAGTAGACGACGACGACACCGAGGGCGACGACAACAACGGGACAGTGGAGGGAGCGAGGGCGGAGAGGAGGACGAGGAGGAGGAGGAGGATAACATGCTTTAAGACCCATGTTCGTTTGGCATGGTGGCTCCTCAGCGGTTTGGGAGCTTTCCTTGGGGATCCACAGACGAGGAACTTGGATGATGGTGTTGATGTTGATGCTGATGTTGAAGTTGTTGGTGATGATGACCATGGTCATGATCATCATCATGATCCTGATGATGCTGCTGCTGCTGCTGATGATGATGATGAGGATGAGGATGAGGATGAGGATGAGGATGAGGATGCAGCTGATGACGATTATGCTGATGTGGATGTGGATGCTGGTGATGGTTATGATGATGAGGGTGATGATGCTGATGAGGATGAGATGAGGATGAGGATGATGTTGCTGATGCTGATGATGGTGATGGTGATGGTGATGATTATGATGATCATGATGATGATGATGATGATGATGATGATGATGATGATGATGATGATGATGATGAAGATGAGGATGAGGATGAGGATGAGGATGAGGATGAGGATGAGGATGAGGGTGATGAGGAGGATGATGCTGGTGATGATGAGGAGGAGGATGATGCTGATGGTGATGGTGATTGTGATGATGGTGATGGTGATGGTGATGGTGAGGGTGAGGGTGATGGTGATGGTCTTGGTGGTGAGGAGTAGGAGGACGAGGACGAGGACAAGGAATGGATGGAGGAGGAGGAGGAGGAGGAGGAGGAGGAGGAGGAGGGGGGAGGGAGGGGGGAGGGAGGGAGCAACGTACAGTGGGGGGCCCATCCCTGCTTGCCGCTTGGGTTCCCTGGGTTCCTTGGATTTCGATGATCTTGCTATGAAGAGCGTGACGCTCCCACACCAAAAATCAGTGGACGTTCTGGGGTCTCAGGGTTGGTTTTCTTGTGGAAGGTTTCTTGTGGTCGAGCCCCTGCTGTAGCGAAGCGCGGCGCTCCCCGTCAGAGGGGGAGGGGATGACGGCGCAAGGCTCCTGCCTGGGGGGCGGCCGCGGCGTCGGGTGGTGCACCGCTGGAAGGTCGGGCGCGAAATGCCCCTTCGGGGACCTCGCCCCGTGAGAGGGGGGAGGGTAGTAGGAGAGAGAGAGGAAGAGGAGGAGGGGTGGTAGGCGAGAGAGGAAGAGGAGGAGGAGGAGGAGGAGGAGGAGGAGGAGGAGGAGGAGGAGGAGGAGGAGGACGGCGCGTCTCTGCCCGCCAGCCCCCTCCGAAGGCGACGGCGCGGATTGCCAGGGCAGTGAGGGAGGGCTTCCGCTGTGGGCAGCCAAACCCCGCCCGCGCCTCGGGCGCCGCCGGCGGAGCGACTGGTGCTCCGTTGAGCTCGTAGTCGGAGGCGATGTGATTTTTTGCACGCGCTCAGAGGAGGAAAAGGTACCCATACCTCTACCCTTTCCCTCGTTTTCCCCTTGGTTGGGCCTCCGCGGAGGCCCTCGTCGCCACCGCTGGATTCGCTTCGAAATTCTGGTCAGAACGCACCCCGGGAGAGGTCGGGGGAGTAGCGGCATCGGTACCTTTTGGTTTCCCCACGCGCTCCTGTGTTTCCTGGGACCTAGCCTCTATCAGCATCAAAAAGCGCGTGACCGAAAACACGTGTGACCGAGAACGCGCCCGAAGTTGTTACACAAACGTAGTGGGACCAGAATTGTAACCGAAATTGAAAATCGAGTTTGCCTCGAACCAAACATTCCAGTCACCCGTGGGCGCGGGCGGAAAATTCAGGGCGCCAGTTTCGGCTTCATTCTGGTAGATGTCCGGGCACTGTTTCGGCCATTGCACCCCCCTGATAGAGACGAATCTACGTGATGCGTTGGATTCTCGCTTTGAATGGAGCACTGCGGTCGCGTCTCTTCCTCCTCCTCCCTCCTGCTTCCCGTCCTCCCTGCTTCCGTGCGCGTTGCGAGCAGCACGGCCGTCGCCATCTCATTGGGCTTCTAGGAGGAACGGCAGAGTGGAGGGCAACGCGCGCTGGCCCGTTATGCGGCCAGAACGATCCGCGCGGCGTCAGGCATGAACGCAGGAGTCGTCGGCACACGAACCCCTCCTGATGTTCGAGGACACGGCCCTTTGTTGCGTTGTTCTCTCTTCTCTGCTCGGCGCCTGAGGAACCTCCCGTCGCCACGGCCAGATTCTTCTGTTGGGGTGCCCTAGTTAGAGCGCACCCAACACGAGTTCCTGTGTTCACTTGTGATGGCCTTACGGCAGGTGCCGCCGGCCTTAAATGCGAGGAGTGCAGGGAGATGGAGCAGGTGGACGAGGATGGGGGGTGCCTCTTGGGTCTTCTGGAGCCTCTCGGGGGGCCTCTTGGGAGCCTCCTGAAGGCCTTTGAGGTCTTCTTGGGGGCCTCTTGGGAGCCTCTAGGGGCCTCTTGGGGGGCCTCTTGGGACTTCTTGGGGCCTCCTGTGATGCTCTGGGGCCGAAGGTTCCACATCCCCTTTCAAGTCCCCTGTGTGGGCACGCTCTGGGAGCCGTCTGAGGGGCCTCTGGGGGGCCATTTTGGAGGCCTCTTAGGCTGTCTGGGTGCCCTCTTGGATCGATTCGGGGCCCTCTTGGAGACTTCTGGGGCTATCTTTGGGCGATCTTGGGGCGATCGTGGAGGCCTCCTGGGCCGTCGTGGAGCGTAGGCGAGAACACCACAATCTTTCAAAAACAAACTTCGAGTTTCTTAGTGTGCGTCGGGGGGGGCGTCACCCCCGCCGACAGCCCCACATCGACCCCAGTCGCGGGCAGCCACCGCGCGCCGAAGGCACTCCGACCCCCGTTGCGGCGCGACGACGAGGCGAGGTTGACCCCCGTCTGGGGGGGTACCCAGCCACGCTTATTCAGGAACCCGTAGAAAGGGAATCTATATTTTAAACCTCTTGGGGTCCTTGTCGGAGTGCTCTTGGAGGCCTCGTGAAGCGTCGGGGAGGTGTCTTGGACCCTCTCGTGGCACTCTCTGCCCGTGCTGGGTTTCTTGCAGCCCCGGGACCCCTCGGGAGGGAATGGCTCTTCTGACCCGGGATCCGCCAATGACCCCCCCAGGATTAATGAAGTCGGGCATGTCAAAAGAAAACGATAGAATTGGGACGATCTCTTGGGCTATTTCTGCATCTGCTGGAGTGTGTCCCAAATCCGCCTGTAGGAGGACATGCCCGGCCTAGCCCCAGGACCCCCCCTCGACACGCGACCGGTTGTTACTGTGGCCCGTTGGGTGTTAGTGTGGCCCGTTGGGTGTTAGTGTGGCCCGTCGCGCGGCAAGATGGGAGTTACTGTGACCCGCGCTGGCCGCTCAATGACAAGTAATGTGTAAAGGTATCTCATGTTAGATCATCTGCAGAGATTTGCAACCCCTCAGGGAATGCACTCCCGCGCAGGCAAAAGTGGCCACAGCAACTCCCACCTGGAAAACGCGTAGTAGTAGCAGTAGTAGTAGTAGTAGTAGTAGTAGTAGTCGTAGTCGTAGTCGTAGTCGTAGTCGTAGTCGTAGTCGTAGTCGTAGTCGTAGTCGTAGTCGTAGTCGTAGTCGTAGTAGTAGTAGTAGTAGTAGTAGTAGTAGTAGTAGTAGTAGTAGTAGTAGTCGTAGTCGTAGTCGTAGTCGTAGTCGTAGTAGTCGTAGTCGTAGTCGTAGTCGTAGTCGTAGTCGTAGTCGTAGTCGTAGTCGTAGTAGTAGTCGTAGTAGTAGTAGTAGTAGTAGTAGTAGTAGTAGTAGTAGTAGTAGTAGTAGTAGTAGTAGTAGTAGTAGTAGTAGTAGTAGTAGTCGTAGTCGTAGTCGTAGTCGTAGTAGAGTCAGTAGTAGTAGTAGTAGTAGTAGTAGTCGTAGTCGTAGTAGTAGTAGTCGCTAGGTAGTAGTAGAGTAGTAGTAGTAGTAGTAGTAGTAGTAGTAGTAGTAGTAGTCGTAGTAGTAGTAGTAGTAGTAGTAAGTAGTAGTAGTAGTAGTAGTAGTAGTAGTAGTAGTAGTAGTACTAGTAGTAGTAGTAGTAGTAGTAGTAGTAGTAGTAGTAGTAGTATAGTTGTAGTAGTAGTAGTAGTAGTAGAAGCAGCAGTAGTATTTGTAGTAGTGGTAGTGGTAGTGGTAGTGGTGGTCGTTGTCGTTGTCGTGGTGGTAGTATTATTATTATTATTCGTAGTAGTAGTAGGAGTAGTAGTAGTAGTAGTAGTAGTAGTAGTCGTAGTAGTAGTAGTAGGGGTAGTAGTAGCAGTAGGGGTAGTAGTAGTAGTAGTAGTAGTAGTAGTAGTAGTAGTAGTAGTAGTAATAGTAGTAGTACTAGTAGTAGTAGTAGTAGTAGTAGTAGTAGTAGTAGTAGTAGTAGTAGTAGTACGCGGCGAGTCCATAACAGACCCCTGTTTCGGACTCGCAGTGGTGATGTTGTTGTGCTGTTAGTGTTGCTGGTTTGTTGATAGGTAGTAGTGTCGTGGTAGTGGAAGTGGTGCTGTGGTAGTGGTGTTGTGGTACTGGTGTTGCGGTGTTGTGGGTGTGGTTTTGTGGTAGCGGTGTTTTGATGGTGTGGTAGCGGTGCTGTGGTGTTCTGGTACTGGTATTGTGGAAGTGGTGCTGTAGTGTGGTGGTACTATGGTAGCGTTGCGTCCGTGCTGTGGTAGCGTTGTAGTGGTACTAGTGTTCGAAGAAGCCCTGGGAGCTCAATTTTGAGAAGAGCCCGCGCTCCTGTGGACCCCCTTTGTGAGGTCTCTGGGAGACTCCTCTTTGTTGCCTTGTTGGACTCCACCTTGGGCCCCCAGCCGTCAAGGCGCCCGGATTTCCCCTTGGGCTCCCAGCCTTGTTGACACTTAACATCCTCACGCTAGGATCGTGGATCGTGCCTGGGTTGTAGTAGTAGAGGAGGATATAGCCGTGCCTCGGTTGCGAACCTGATGACTACGGGCCTGGCAGGACGAGGCATCCTGGGATCCTAGGCGAGGCCGGGGAGAAGAAGGAGGAAACGAGCGTGTTGCATCCTTACCTTGCGAGATCTCAGAGAACACGTGTACCCTTGCATCCTGGAGAATACTATTCCTCCCCCCCTTCTGCCCGTCCCTCTCTCTCCTCCCTCTCCCTACCCGTTCCCCTCCCCCTCTCCCTGCCCCTCCCTCTCGCTCGTCCAAAAACCATGCTTGGCTCAAGACGGCTCAGGGAGGATGCCTCCGTAGCCATTTTGGCTCAAGGCTCAAGTTGCAGTCGCCCGCCTTGAAAGCACAATTCGCGGCCAATGGTATTCCGTGCAGAACGAACTTTGAGCGGGCACGACGCTCTTGTTCATAGTTGTTGTTTCTCTCCAGACGGGGAGAAGGTTCTCTCTGCTTCAAGTGACAGGACTTTAAAGACATGGCGGGAGTCTGACGGTGCGTTGCTGCATACCTTGAGCGGGCACGACGCTCTTGTTGATAGTTGTTGTTTCTCTCCAGACGGGGAGAAGGTTCTCTCTGCTTCAGGCGACAGGACATTGAAGATATGGCGGGGGTCTGGCGGTGCGTTGCTGCATACCTTGAGCGGGCACGACACTTTTGTTTATATTTGTTGTTTCTCTCCAGACGGGGGTTCTCTCTGCTTCAAGTGACAGGACTTTAAAGACATGGCGGGAGTCTGACGGTGCGCTGCTGCATACCTTGAGCGGGCACGACTTTTCTGTCAATAGTTGTTGTTTCTCTCCAGACGGTAAGAAGGTTCTGTCTGCTTCAAGTGACAGGACATTGAAGATATGGCGGGAGTCAGACGGTGCGCTGCTGCATACCTTGAGCGGGCACGACTTTTCTGTCAATAGTTGTTGTTTCTCTCCAGACGGGAAGAAGGTTCTCTGTGCTTCAGGCGACAGGACATCGAAGATATGGCGGGAGTCTGACGGTGCGCTGCTGCATACCTTGAGCGGGCACGACGCTCATGTTCATATGTGTTGTTTCTCTCCAGACGGGAAGAAGGTTCTCTCTGCTTCAAGTGACAGGACATTGAAGATATGGCGGGAGTCTGACGGTGCGCTGCTGCATATCTCGAGCGGGCACGACTGTTTTGTCAATCGGTGTTGTTTCTCTCCAGACGGGAAGAAGGTTCTCTCTGCTTCAAGTGACAGGACATTGAAGATATGGCGGGAGTCTGACGGTGCGCTGCTGCATACCTTGAGCGGGCACGACTGTTTTGTCAAAGGTTCTCTCTGCTTCAAATGACAGGACATTGAAGATATGGCGGGAGTCTGACGGTGCGTTGCTGCATACCTTGAGCGGGCACGACGCTCTTGTTCATAGTTGTTGTTTCTCTCCAGACGGGAAGAAGGTTCTGTCTGCTTCAAATGACAGGACATTGAAGATATGGCGGGAGTCTGAAGGTTCGAGCGGATCTGGACAGAGACCGGATGGGCGCCATGATGACTACATGATCATGTTCGAAGAGCTGATGGACAAACATCGACTCGCGCACGCTGCCCAGATGCCTCGGCCTTCCCATTATTCTGAATACCGCATTGGCGCAGTGCCAGGAGAGGACCCGTTTGGCCAGTTCATGTCGCACATTGTCGTCAGCACGGTTGCAAGCCACAGGGAGTCGTACCAGTCTGCCGTGTACCATGAGCCGCCGCAGCTCGAGATCATCGGGGTACGATCGGTAGTAAACCCAAGAGTGCAAGCATCTTACATGGCAAAGCTCCAGAACCTCGAGGGCAAGAGGCAGCGAAAGGGCATGTGTTCTCAGATTTCGGCTCTCTCTTATCTGAAAGTGCCGGCGAGCAGGTACGACTTCGACTTGAACGAGCATTTCTGATTCCATGGGGTTGTACCATCGACCCTAGCGGAGATATGCAGAGGTGGGTTCAATCCGCAGATGGGGGGCGAGACTTTTGGTAAGCTCTTCGGCACCGCTTCTTATTTCGCTGCGAATTCTTCAAAAAGCGACGATTACACAGAAGATCGCGCAAGTCATTTGGAAAAGAATGCCAAGAGGACCTGAATGGTTGCCCGCGTTGCCCTTGGGGAGTCTTTTCGCGCGTCAGAGCCCATGCCGCAGACCACCAGGCCCCCAGATGACGACGAAGGTGTGGTCTTTGATTTGATATGGGCTGATACATCGAGACAAGGTGGCTGCGTGGATCATATCGAAGTTATGGTATTTTCGGAGGCGCAGGCACTGCCGGTGGCGCTCGTGGACTACCGGCATGCAGTCGGCTGCACGTGCGCCTTCTGCCGGATGCGTCCCTGAAACGCTGGACTGCAGATGAATCGCATGACCGCATGGCTCGAGCAAGAGATCCGGTACAGTCCACGCGACGGTCTGAATAAAAACGGCTTAGGAAGGATGCTTCGTTGCGACCAGTGTCGTGTTAGGGGATACCATTCATAAGGCGTACTATTCCTACGGAGTATTAGCCGTAGGGAGTGCTAGCCCTAGGGAGTACCAGTACTAGGAATTATTACCCCTAGGGGGTACTAGCCCTAGGGTGTACTAGTCCTAGGGAGTACTCTTGCTGCGGCGTACAAGTCCTAGGGAGTACTAGTCCTAGGGAGTGCTAGTCCGAGGGAGTGCTACCCCTCGGAAGTGCTGGCGCTAGGGAGTGATAGCCCTAGGGAGTACTAATCCTAGGGATTATTACCCCTTGGGTATACTAGTCCTAGGGATTCTAGTCCAAGGGGCAAGGGGACACTAGTCCTTGGGCGTATTAGTCCTAAGGAGTACTTGTCCTAGGGAGTACATGTTCTAGGGGATACTAGCCATAAGAATTACCGATGCCAGGGATTACTAGACCTGGGGAGCTGGGGAGTATTCGTCCTAAGGATTTCTAATCATAGGGTTTACTAGTCCTAGGGATTACTAGGACAAGGGGGGGTCACTACGGTTTCTAAGGTGTCTGATCTAAAAAATTACTCCGACGGAAGAACCCCACATAAGAATCCTCTGGGCGAATCTGGAAAAAACCATCACCGTCGTCCTCGTGGTTGGTGAGGCGTCCTGGCTGTCTCTTCTGCGTATATTTCCTGTCGCCTTGGCGCGGGCCCCCCTTCCACTCCTTACGTTGTCCCCATCCTCGCCCCCCTGTTTGTTCCGCGCCCCGCCACCTCCTCCCCTTCCTGTTGCATGAGCGCGCGTGTCGATGTTCCTCGGCGCCGTCGCCGCCACGGCCAGCACAGGCGCGTTCTCTATTGGTCACGTCGCGCAGCCGTTGGGACAACCCCGCGGGCCAGGCTGTCGGGACAACCCCGCGAGCCGTTGGCGCGCAAGACCAAGCCGTTGGGACAACCCCGCGGGCTTCGAGCGAGGCGCAGCCGCGCTCAGGCGGAAGGCAGCACGAATCCCAGCTCTGCCGCGAGCTGCTTCGCCTCCGCCCTGGACAAAACCGCCTGAGACTTCCTCCAGATACAGGGTTCCGATGACCCGCTCGGATTACCAACATGATCTGCGGGCCCCATAGGGAGGGAGCTCCCGCCTGAGACTTCCTCACAATTCACTCAGAGACGAGGCTCCCGCCTGAGACTTCCTCCGAATTCAGGCTTGACGAGCCCAAAAGTGACGACAGTTACAAGGTTCCGATGACCCGCTCGGATTACCAACATGATCTGCGGGCCCCATAGGGAGGGAGCTCCCGCCTGAGACTTCCTCCAATTCACTCACAGACGAGGCTCCCGCCTGAGACTTCCTCCAAATTCAGGCTTGAGGAGCCCAAAAGTGACGACAGTTACATGATTCCGATGACCCGCTCGGATTACCAACATGATCTGCGGGCCCCATAGGGAGGGAACTCCCGCCTGAGACTTCCTCCCAATTCACTCACAGACGAGGCTCCCGCCTGAGACTTCCTCCATTTTCAGGCCTGGGGAGCTCAAAAGTGACGACAGTTACAGGATTCCGATGACCCGCTCGGATTACCAACATGATCTGCGGGCCCCATAGGGAGGGGGCTCCCGCCTGAGACTTCCTCACAATTTACTCACAGACGAGGCTCCCGCCTGAGACTTCCTCCAAATTCAGGCTTGAGGAGCCCAAAAGTGACGACAGTTACAGGATTCCGATGACCCGCTCGGATTACCAACATGATCTGCGGGCCCCATAGGGAGGGAGCTCCCGCCTGAGACTTCCTCCCAATTCACTCACAGACGAGGCTCCCGCCTGAGACTTCCTCCATTTTCAGGCCTGGGGAGCTCAAAAGTGACGACAGTTACAGGATTCCGATGACCCGCTCGGATTACCAACATGATCTGCGGGCCCCATAGGGAGGGGGCTCCCGCCTGAGACTTCCTCACAATTTACTCAACGATGATGAGGATGAGGATGATGAGTGGTGGTGAAGATGAGTGGTGAAGAGGATGATGATTGATTGTGAGTGGTGGTGGCGATGATGATGTTTGAATGAGGATGATGCCGATGATGATGATGATGATGATGATGTTCATGAACGTGTGAGAGAGTGCGAGTGATGATGATGATGAGTATGTGAGTGACTAAGCATGTGAGAGAGCATCATCGATGATGTTGATGAGGTTGATGATGAGAGAGTGTGAGTGAGTGTGAGTGGGTGTGTGTGTGTGTGTGTGTTCCTGTTCCTGCGCGGGGTGTCCAGAGAAAACAAGAACCCCACTTTGGATGTGGGGAACAACACAGTTACAAACAAGCAATAACAACGAACAACACTAACAAACAAACGAACCAGCAACAACAAGACAACAACAGCAACAACAACAACACACCAGGCTCTTCGGCCGCTCGAAGAGGCTCTTCGGTGGCTGAGGCTTTTCGGCGGCCCCGAGAGGCTCTTCGGAAAGCCCAAGAGGCTCTTCGGAGAGCGCAAGCGGCTCTTCGGAGACCCTGAGAGGCTCTTCGGGGAGCCCAGGAGGCTCTTCGGAGAGCCCAAGAGGCTCTTCGGCGAGCCCAAGAGGCTCTTCGGCGGCTGCAAGAAGGTCTTCGGCGGCCCCAACAGGCTCTTCGGAGAGCCCAGGAGGCTCTTCCGAGAAGCTCGTCGGTGAAGGGGGGGGGGGCTTCTTTGGAGCCCTCCCTCCCCTTCACCGCACTCGTTAATTGTTACACTCCGGAGGAACCCTGGCCGTACTAAGACCCACCGGGCCGCAGTAACAACCGACGGGCCGCAGTAACACCTTATCTCCCCTCGACCCCCCCCCCCAGGACACCCCCCTCCGGCTGGGAAGGGGCCCTCGATTCAATCTACGACGTCGTTCGATGTCGCTCTGGCTGGAGCGCTAAAGGAGGAGGGCCCAGGGAAAGGGAGGGCGCGGCAACGACGGCGGAGACGGCGACGACGGCGACGAGGTGGAGTGGCAACGGCGACAGTGACGACGACGGCGAACGGACGAGCGCTTTCCACACGCCGACAGGGTCGGCGGATTTTCTTGAGCCGCCATTGGGGTTTTGAGTGCAAGCTTTGTTGAAGATTTTCGCTGTTCATGCCTCAGGTCGCCATCCACGACTCAGGATGAAACGTTCCCAGGAAGAGCACTGTGGTCCAGGACCAGTTTCCTTCAGGACCCCTTGCTCGCATGCCTGGAGGAGGTGGATTTTGTCTGCCAGAGTTCTCTCTTCTGGCTGGTGATGTTGAATTTTTTGCTGGGGGCACCAGCCTTTCAAGCATTGCGGCCCACATGGGCGTTTTCGACTTGTCTCGGCGGGCATGGAATGTTTCCCAGAGAGTGGCCACGCCGGTTCATCCGATGAAGCGCTGAGATGAGCTCACGGAGCGAGGGACATCTTGACCTGGTTCGCTCGTGTCCTGGACCCCTCTGGCCTCAGAATCCGAGCCCTACCCCCTTGCCCATCCACGATTCCGGCAACCCGATGGGCGGCGGGGGAAGTGCTCGGAATTCGTCGACCACGTGGCGAAATCCGAACCCCACCCCAGCTCCCATCGATTCAGAAGAATCGATCCGTCCTCGCGCACGGGGACGCAGGAACGGAGCATCATATACAGTGGGGGCCGACGCCAAGAAACACCATGCCTGCCTCCTCCTCCTCCTCCTCCCTCCTCCTCCTCCTCCTCCTCCTCCTCCACCCCTTCGTCGTCGTCGTCCTCCTCCTCCTCCTCCTCCCAGACCTGTGGCCTCCTCCTCCTCCTCTTCATCCACTCTTACAGTGGGGGCCCATGCCAAGAAACACCCTGTTTGCCTTCAGGGTGCGTTGGGTTTCTTGGGTTTCGATGGTTTTGCCATGGGCAGCGCGACGTCCCCACGCCAAGAGTCCATGGACGTCCTCGGGTCTCAGGGTTGGGTTTCCTGTGGAAGGTTTCTTGCAGTCGGGCCCCTACTGTATTCATTGTTTTGCCGATCGGCGCAGGCCCTCGCACCCCCCCCTTCCACCTGGAGTAGATCATGCCTGTCTTCGCGCCTGTTTCAGGCATGTGGAGCCTTTCCCCCTTATGACGCACGGGTTAAACAGTCGCATGAAGCAGAGGTCCGGCGGGCCAGGCCCCCCCCCTCCCCCCCTTCCGCTCAATGTTGAAACGTCGCGTAAGAAAACGTTCACGTAAACATGCATTTTCGCAGATCCGCGTGGAACTCTGGAAATTCACGTTCATGGAGCGCTTTGCTCCCCTCCAGTGGGGGACCATGACAACAAACACCCTACGTTTCGTCAGGGGTCCCTATGTTTCTTTGGCTGGCGTTCGTTGCCGAAGGTGCCGCAATCTCGAAGAAATTGCAAATGCCAGGGCACCCTGGGTTTCTTGGGCGTTGGTCGGTTTCAGGGCGCGCGCCCGAACCTCCAAGACAATTCCAGGCATTCGGGGTACCTTGGGTTTCTTCGTTTGCAGCCGAAGTGCAAGAAACCCAACCTTGGACCAAGAAACCTCGGCAGATGTCATGGTTGGGTTTCTTGTGGTGGGTTTCTTGTGCATCGACTCACACTTGGCGCCGTCCTGTTGTAGCAATCACAGGGGCCTGTCGTGCCCTCCTCTCTGGGGTGGGGGGGCGGGCCGACACCCAGTCTGCCACACGGCTCGACCTAAACTGTCTTTTGGCGACTTCGTGAACCGTTTTCATTCGTTCTGCCGACAGAGGCGTGCACGGAGCTTGGGCTCAGATGCACGGATTGGTTCGCTTTCCGCCTCCTTCGAGCTTGAGTGGATTGGTTCTGGGGCGGAGTTTCGTTCACTTCCGAGTGCTCTTCGAGCGTTCGTCGCCGTCATTCCCTTCTGCTTTCTTCCTCCTTCTGCATCTCCCAAAATTGCTCCTTCTGCTTCCTCCTCCTTCTGCTTCCTCCTCCTTCTGCTTTCCTCCTCCTTCGCCTGCTGCTTTCCTCCTCCTCCTCCTCCAAAATTGCGCAGAAAAAAACGAGGACAGGACGAGGAAGACGAAGCACAAGACGAACACGGAAAGCACAGTCTGGGTCGAGCCCAGGGGCTTGTCCCGCACGTCTCCTGCCTCTTGCCTGCTCCTTCCAAAGGGCGTGCAGCAGAGTGCTGTCCCTCGGCGCGCAGGTGCGACGACGACGTCGACGACGATGGCAACCACGACGACCACCACCGCGACCACCACCTCGACGACGACGTCCACCACCACGACGACCCACACGCCACGACCACGATCACTACGACTGCGACGATAATAACCGCGACCACGACGACGACGCGGCATCCAGCAGAGTGCTCTCTCGGACTCCCCGGCGCTCCTCTGCTCGCCGACCTTCGCTTGCTCATGCTCTGCGGCTCCACACTCGGCAGCTGCCCTTGCGAGGGTGGCTATCTCTGTGCCCTCTCTGGCGGTGCTGGCGTCTCTATCAGTGCGACTCTCCTGCTCGCGCTTTGCCGCATGCCAGTCTCAAGGTCTGGACGGCATCACGGAGTGGGAGGCCCCGAGGGCTCGTCCTTCCTAGGCCTCCTAGATGGGGTCGGAGCAGATAGGGTCGGAGGATCGCGCCGCATCGCCGATGCATCGCCGATGCATCGCCGATGCGGCTCGATGTGGGGCCCGATTTGCTTCACGTCGACGTCGCCGATGCATCGCCGACGTCGACGACACCTTTCTGGTGGATCACAAATGCATCGCCGATGTATCGGCGATGCGGCGCGATCCTCCCACCCCATCTACTCCGACCCCATCCAGGAGGCCTCGATCCTCTAAGGAGGAACGGGTGGAGGTTGTGTACATCACGCACGTGCCGCTGTCGCAGTCAGTTTACGATGTGCCAATTCGTAAAGCAGAGAGTGCCTCTCGAGCCCTGGGCCATAATTTGTTGTAGGGTGCGGTCGCCAGGGTCGCGTGCTGATGGCAGCAGGAGGGCAGCGCGCGCACGGGTCGAGTGTTGCTTGTGTTCCACCAGTATTGTGTTGTCTTCAAGTTCTGGAGTGGAGTTGCAGCCTTCGGGTTGCACGTTCGAGTGATTGCACGTGAAATTTGTAGTGTGAGGCAATGTGGTACGGTCAATGTGATCCAGCAGCTTGCGGCAAGTCCCGACGCCGTGCGCGCCCAGTACTCGTTGGTCATTGTTTGCGGGACGACAGCAGGCCGAAATCTGCGAATCGATCGGCGTGCCGTGCTAGAACGCTCCGCCGTGCCAGGGAAGAGCGCCAAGCGATTGTGGCCCCGCGGTCATCCCAAGACCGTCCCTTCGAGGTTTCCCCGCGAAATTGCCCCGCGGTTGCCCCGCGCGGCTGTCCCGGACCGGTGTTCTGCGGTTGCCCTGTGCGGTTGTCCCGCTCGGTTGTCCTATGATCGTCACGATGGATGCCCGGCGCTCAGGGAAGGATGCGTATCTGGGGTGTACATTCCGACGCCACGCCCTAGGTTCTGAATGGAGCGTCTTCAGGTCCCTCCGAGTTCTCCGTAGTTTTCCGCATTGAGAACTCAATTTCTCTTGAGGGTGCCCAGTCCCATAACCCACGACAGCCCCAAATGAGCTCCTCCTCGACATCGCCACCTTCATTCTTGTCCGAAGATTCCAGTGCTTCTTCAACACGCTGATGGGTTCTCCACTGCGGCGTGCCATTGATGCTGGTTTTCTTTCCTCGGTTTGGGCTACCCATTGATGCTCCGATCTCTGGGGCTCACGTGGCAGGGGTCATGGCCGAACGGGGGTCAGCGAATGTCCTCAAGATGACCGGGGCCGTGGAGCCGCCAGGAGCCAAAGCGCCCCCCTCGCGCTCAGCCCTCCGCTGGCCCGGGGGCAGCGCGTCCCCGACGAGCGACGCATGGCTGTCGTTGGTCTCCTTGCCCCTCACCGGGCTTCGTTTTGCACCCCTCCGCCCGCCCAGCTGCTGCTCACGGCGCGTGCCATGCACGCGCTCTTCGTCCAGCGCGCGGTGGACGCCGCTGCCTTTGACGAGGAGGAGGAGGAGGAGGAGCAGGAGCAGGAGGAGGAGGAGGAGGATGGGCGGATGATGCACTGTGCAGTAGGAGGGGGCAGTGCTAGATAAGGAGGAGGAGCTGGGCCTGGGGGCAGGCGTAGTCGTGGCGGAGACGGAGAAAGCGGAGGAGTACGAGAAGGAGTGGTAGCCCAGTGGGAAACGAGGCAAGGCAGCGCGAGCAGACGAGGAATGGGGGAGGGGGGGCACAGTCCGTATACGCGCTAACGGCGATATAGGTAACGGCGATGTAGGTTTCGGCATTGTAGGTGGGTCTGGTTCGTGGCCAAATCAGTTGCAGGGCATCGTGGTTCGCACTTCTTACAATTCGCTGCGTCGTCTTCGCTCGATACATTCGCACATTTGAAATGTAGGAAAGGGTGGTTCGTGATTTCCTATAATTTGTTCTGCGCGAGCTCGGCGTCACAAAAGTCGGATTTCCAGCATCGCCGTCAACCAACATCGCCGTTAGCGCGGCCTTGGACAGTCAACAGTTGAGTTCAGGACGAGCCCCCGAAGCAGAGCACCCCTTTGGCACCCCTCGATCCTGGGCACCCTTTGGCATGCCCTCGGCCTCCCGGCCTTTTGGCTGCCCAGCATCCCGGCGCGCTCTGGGCGCCTTGCATCCTCACCTCCCCCTTCCGCCTCCTCCTCCTCCCTCCTCCTGCGCCTCCTCCTCCTCCTCCTTCTCCCTCCTCCTTCCTCCTTCCTCCTCCCTCCTCCTTCACCCTCCTTCTCCATCCTCCCTTCCGTAGCCATTTTGGCTCAAGTTCGAAACCTTGCCGCGAGGCTTCGAGCTTGTCCGCAGCCATGCGGCAGGCTCGGGAGATTTTGGCACGTGTTCCGCCTGGTGTGCTGCCCGCGCCACCAGGTCTTGGCTGTTGCTGAGCCTGCTTTCCATATTTGTGAGCTCCTGCTGGAACATCCGCCAACGCTTTGGAGATTTCTCCTGCCACGCCTTGGCAATATGCACCGTGGGTTTGTCGTCGACCTGGTAGTGATGCTCGGTCTAGCTACAGTGTGTGCTCGAAGTGCGGGCACTGGGAGTTCGACTACCACGGGCATGCCTCGTGGCCGAAATGCAAGGGAGCATACCTCGCGAAGGATGGCACGAAGACTTAATGTTCCTGCTGCTGGTGGTGGGCGTTGGAAGCGTCGTGCCAAATACCAGCCATATGCCCCTTCTCTCGATGATGAACTCGGGCGGCTTGCGGGACTCTTTCCTGATCGTGCTGATATACTTCGTGGTGCTCTTGAACGTGCCCCGCAGCCTGCTGAAGGTGAGGTACCCCTCCCGTCATCCGACAATGATTTGGAGAAGAAGGTCGCTAAGAAGAAGAAGAAGACGGCTTTGGCGCTCGCGGTGGAACGAGAATCTAAGGCTGAACTTGTTGCGTTGTACGATGTGGAGCTGAAGCTCGCAAGCAAGGCTCGTCACAAAGAGGCTTTGGCAAAGGCTCAGGATGCCAATGCCGAGGCTGTGTTGCAATTGGAACGTGTTGCTGCTGCCCATCGTGCTGCGTATGTCGAGATGGATTCATTCGACACACAGGCTTTCCGTTTACAGCTTGTGGCGGATGAACGTGCTGAACGGGAGAGTTTGGAACGGGAGCGGCGGCAGGCTGTTGCGGCGGCGGCCAGCCCCTCCGTCCACCCCCAGCACGGTGCCGATGCCCGCCCTGCAGCGTCCGCCGCCCACGGCGACGCGCGGCCCATGGAGGACGATGCGGGGCGGCCTGCTCATGTTATGGATATGCGGCACCGCATGGGGGAGCTCCTCAGCCACCTGGGCTACAGTCCCTCAGCGAGGAGGAGTTGCGGACGTGGTGCGGGGAGAACAAGCAGAGTTTCGAGTATTTGCAGCAGATCAAGCCGATCACATCACATATTGAGGAAGATGATTTGTTTGATGCTCCCAGTGATATTGGCAACGATGGTGTGTACCGCGATGAATTGGATGTACTCAAGAAGCGGAGCATCGAAGTTGCACTGTCATCGGCCGAGCTTGAGAGATTGGAGACTCGTGCAGAAGCGATCCCATATCAAAACTGCCAAGCGTTTGCGTACAGTCCGAGACCGAGCTGCAGCTTCTTTTGACCGTGTATTACAAGCAATGCACCCAGTACATGCCCCAGCTACAGCTCCGACTGCTGCGGAGGCAGGTGCTGGCCAACGGCGCCTCTAACATTGAGGGCGGGGGTGAGGCGACGCGGGCGAGGAAGCGGTCGGCTTATATAGATCTGTTGTTCTGCAACATCACCTTGTGGAACCAGGTCGCGCTCGATTTTTTGCAGCAGATCAAGCCCGTGTGCGACGGTGTCTTCGTCGCCGAACATCATTTGATCAAGGGCCTTGCTCGTGCCAAAAGGAATGCTTCACATATTGGCCGGGGGCCGCATCTGCGCCCTGCTTCCCCGTCCCCTGGAGCAGGCACCTCTGGAGGGGTAGGAGCTGTGGTTTCTAAAGGTTTGAGTTATCGGCGGTTTTTGGCTTGTGACTCGACCGTCCTGGATGTAGGCAGTGGCCTCAATTGGCTCTTTCTGAAGCTAAAAACCAAGCAATGCGCGATAGCCGTAGGTGTGATATATTCGATTGCGGACTTAGGTTTTTGTATTCGTGCCGTCTCGGAGTTCCGCTGGGCCCTCGCCAATCCATTGACACTGGTCGGGGATTTCAACATGCCTCCTGGTGATATGAATATCTCTGGGTTTCCTGACCTTGCTCGTGCTCGCGCCCTGGTTCCCGACAGCGCGTCTGTGACGTGCGCGGAGGGAAGGGGCACCCTCATTGATTGTGCCACTGCGCCGAACTGCACTGCTGATTTTGCAAGGGTGGGCGCGGATCCACAGAGCCCCGTTAAGACGCATATTGGTTTGGACGCACGTACCATGCATGAAGCCCTGGAACAGTTCATGTGGAAGAGGTGTCGCCCCGTCCCTTTGTCAGAATGTTATGGACCTGATCTTCCAACGTCGCAGGTGTTAGCTCAGCTTCCCGGCGAGAGGCAGCGTGCCATTCCTGCGCGCCTATATCGAGCCCTGCTACCGCGCGCCCAGGATAACCTGAACACTGGCCCCACAGAGCTCCACCGCGCGTGGTCTCGGGCAACGGAGGCCGTTCTTGCATCCAGGGCTGCGGCGTGCGATGTCAAGAAGGGGCTGGGTAAAGCGAGGTGAGTTTCCCGTGTTCCGTTCTGCGTCTATTGGACGTATAGGCCCTTAGGGCCAGAGTTTTTTTTTGCGAACCTGCTCTTGCTTTCTGGGCCCATCTTTGTCAAAAAATGAGAGCATCGTCTTTACCTGGCTCGCGAGTCGCCTGCGATGGTCGCCAGCTTAGCTAGTTCCCTCCAAGGTTTAGCGGCCGAGATTGCCCAGTTCCTTGGCCCAGATGATGCCCGCGGGCTTAGCTGGTGGAGGTCCCAGCTGGCCTTTTTGTCGACTAAGGCTGAGCGCCCGGGCATGCTTACAGGTGCGATCTGCTGATACCGCGCGGCCTGGACGGCGGAAAGAGAGAACTCGCGTGCGAGAATGAAGGACTGGCTCCTGGAGGCGCTTCCAAAAGGGGCTAAGAAGGTTCGCTCCTGGTGGAAACATGATGCTGGTGACCCCCCAAAAAAAAAGAGTTGCGGTTGCCCCGATGGAAGTAGGCAGCTTCCTGCTGACATGATGACTTACCGTGGAGCTTTTCGGCGTGACGTTTGGGGCTCTCCTGGCCCGAGAGAAAAGCTTTCGGGGGGTTGGAGGCGCTCTGGCCCAGAGCCCTAGGTTCGTTTCTTTGCTTGAACCCCTTGCAACCCATGGGTGCCCAGAGGGCTGCCAGGTGTTTTTCTGCCGCTACTACTGCGGGGTTTGACCCTTGGGCTCCTAGGTCGCTGGTGCACCTGCCTAAGGCTGCTGTCTGGGGGCATACTCATATCCTCAGTCAGTGCGAGTCCTTTTGATCCAGGCCTGCCCGGGTCGATTAGAGTGTCACTGCCCTGCTGCCCAGCGCCATTGAGTGTGATCGTCCTATTTGCAAGTGCCCCACGCTGTATAGGGCTTACTTCAACGCTAGACGCAAGGACTTGGACATGTGGAACCATGATCTCTGCAATTTTTGGGACGCTGTTATTGTGGGCCCCAGCGCGCCCCAGGCAGTTTTACGTCGTGAGCTCGGCCACGAGGTGGCTCGAATGATGGGCCTCTGCTTCGTGGGCGCGCACTGGGGCCTGACGCGATATTTGGTAATGTCCAGCCCCGTCGGCTGGTGAGCATGGCGGCCAATATTGATTACCCCCTCCACCTCCTCGACCTCTGTGGCCTCATTCATGGAGCTCCTCGTGTTTTGGAGGTCGGAGGTTTCGTCTCCAGTATTACTGATCCTGGATGTACCATTTTGGCTGGCTGCATGCAATCGATGTCTTGGGTGAACAGATCTGTTTATGAGTTGACGGATGTTGCGCATGTGCAATATCGGCCTGTGCAGGTCAACGCGTCTGTAGGTGATCTCACGCAATCTATGGTCGGACAACACGAACCAGTGCTCTCATCTTTAGTCCCAGCTGCGGTGGACCTTGTGCACCAGTTGGACGAGTTTAGGATGCGCTATCTCTGGCAAGTCCTGTGTTTGCATGCAGCCGTGGCGATCTAGGTCGAGAGCTCGCGGCACGTTTCAAGGCAATCGGATTGTCCATCAAGTTGGGGCAGGCCGCTCGAGATCTGGGGGTCATGACTACGGCTGGAGGGAAGAGGCCCACTGCGAAGCTGAGAAAACGCAGGAGCATGGCCTCTAAGAAGGCTAGTAAGGTCGCTCTTCTGGCGAAGATTGCCGGGGGTGACCGACGACTTTATAAACCTGGTGTTTTGGCGGCTGGTTCTTGGAGCCGTTATGTCCTGGGCCTTTCTGTTGGCCACCTTCGGTCCATGAGGGCCTGTGCTACCTCGGCCGCAGGTGTCCTGGGGCCTGTGCCACCTCGGTCTTGGGGCGGATTCGCGCAGCCAGAGATGGCCCCCAGGTTAGGCTCCGCCGTGGACAATTGGTCAGTTTTCACGCTGTTCGGCAGGAGCTGGGCCATCGCAAGAGGATGGATGTGTCCCGGTGTTGGGATATTATTGTTGTTGGGCTCAGTAAATCCAAGCGCATGTGGCAATGTGTACGTGGTCCTCTTGCTGCTACTATTGCAGCGTCGATTGATTTGAAAGCTATCCCTCGCAGTCCTGTCTACTGGCTTCACCCGAATGGCGCCCGCGTCCGCTTCGGGACTGGGGCGTTCCAGCACGCCCTCTGTCACGTGGCCGTCGGAGTTTGCAGCGGCTTGTCATGGGGCGGGGCTGCCAAACATAATGAAGGATCGGGCTTGTGCGGGGGAGTTGATTTCACGGTTTCTCTTGCTTTTTTCGAGGAAGTTTGAAACATTTGGGTTCTTTGGGGCTCCTGGAATCCTTCCGAATGTCTTGGCTGTTGGTTTTGGATGGAAGGCAGATTGCGTTTGGCAGGTTTCGGGTCCGCCACTGGAGGTCTCTGTCCCAGGTGCGGCCGCGAGGCCGAGAGTGCGTCGCGCCGCTTCTGGCGATGCCCGCGCAACGATGAGACCCCAGATGGTGCGATCGCCAGATTGGACTGTTTTCTGACTGAGGCCATCTCATCCACGGACGCCTGTTGCTTCTGGTCTCGCGGGCCCCCACCTCTCGAGATGAGCATTGGGCACCTTCCTGAACCCCGTCGTCTGCATTGGGAATGGGGCACCTTAGGTGGGGGAGCTACAGTCTCAGGAGGCACTTGGGGGATCGATGGTTCTGGAGGTAAGTATCACAAAGATTGGCAGTTGCACCGGCGTGGGTGGGCTATTGGCCACTGCGGGCCTGCTGGCCTGTTTGATGGAGTGGCCACTGGCACTTTACCGATTAAGGCGCAGTCTGTTGGTCGAGCTCAGCTTCTTGCATGCATTCAACTTGCACGTAGGACAGTTGGCAATTTTCGAGTTTTGTGTGGCAATATGCTTGGGGTTCGTGGGCCTCGGCGTCCCCTTCGTGCTCTACTTAAGTCGTCGATGCTTGGCTTGTGAAGTGAATCTCATGAGGTCCTGGGGGGCCGCGACGGCACGAGACAGGTTCTTTGGCCTAAAGGTCACCCCGCCCAGGCTCAGATGTCCAGTATGTGCATTGGTGAGTTAGAGCTTTATTTTAATGAATCGGCTGGTTTCTTTGCAGGCAAGGCCGCTGAGGCTGACCAGGTGTCGACCTTGCCCGCGCCACTTTTGAGTGCGACGAGCGGGCTTTCAAGGTTTTAGGTCGATTGTTCGCTGTCCAGAGAGAAGTGGTTTTCACCTCTGATCGTGAATGTGTGGATCGGGCGACTCGCGTGCGTTGCCCGTTTCGCTCTATCGATCAAAGGTTATGTAGGCTTCGAGATGCTGGACACCAGTGTAAGGTCCGCACGGCAATATTTTAAGTGTGTACTCTGCTCGCGCAGTTTCAGTCGAACAGGGTCTATCTCGGAGTTTTGGCCGAGCGTCTGCAAACCCCGTGCCGAGATCCAGCAACGAATGCAGGCTCATCCTGCGAGAGAGCGGGCACCCGACCCGCGGCGTAAGGAACCTTTTCCTCCTCCTGATGATTTGGGGCCTCCGGAGGCAGGAATGGGTGGGGGTCTGGGTCATCCTGTGGCTGAGCAGTGCCATCTCACACACCAGTTGTCCACGTACCGTGGTGTTCTGTTTTGCACAACCTGTGGGTGCCACTGTGTCGAGAACTCGCGTTCCCTGAAAGAGGAGTGCAACCCCCCACATGAGCGGGGCGTGATGTTCCCAGCAGGTTGAAGTGCGGACTGCCGCCTAAATCTGGTGGGCAGATCCCTGATGTTTGAATTTGTTTTGCGTGCCCCGCCCTGCTGCAGGTCACCACGCGCATAGGTATAATATAATAGGATAGAGCACCTCCTCCTCCCATCTCCTCCTCCTCCTCCTCCTCCTCCTCCTCCTTATCCCTCCTCCTTATCCCTCCTCCTCCTCCGCCTCCTCCTCCTCCTCCTCCGCCTCCTCCTCCTCCTCCTCCTCCTCCTCCTCCTCCTCATTCTCCTCCTCATCCTCCTCCTCCTCCTCCTCCTCCTCCCCATCCTCATCCTCCGCCTCCTCCTCCTCCTCCGCCGCCTCTTCCTCCTCCTTCTCACACCTCTTCCCTGCGGTCGGCAGTTGCCATGCGAGGATGCGGTCGGCAGAGACGAGCCATGCAGAGGAGGGTCGAGGAGGAGGAGGAAACGGGAGAGGATACAGGATCGAGGGTCGAGGAGGAGGAGGAATCGCGTTGAGGGAGATGAGGAGGGGGAGGGGGATCGAGGGGGAGGCTTGGGGCGGCGGCGAACGAGCCCGCCCGTCGCGGTCTCGTCGCCCGGCAGGGCCGCGCGCGACACCAAAGTGTGCAGGGGGGGGCGGCAGAAGGCGGCAGCGGAGGGCGGTCGGTGAGCGAGCGGTTCGGGTTGGATCATGAAGAGGCGCTGCAGGCTTCGCGGGCGCTGGCGGACCCCGTCGCCGGCGTGAATGCCCTCTGGTCGGCGGGAAGCAAGGGGGGTAAGCGAGAAGGAAAAGGCCCTCTCAGGAGGCGGCGTGACTTCTCAGAAGCCCTCGCGCCTTCTGAGAGGTTCGTCGTGTCGTCGGGGAAGGCCTCGAAATCTTCTCAGAGGGCTGGGGGGCTTCCGAGCCTTCTGAGAAGGCCTTCTCATTCTCACTTCCCCTCGCTCGCCGCCAACGTGGGGTACACGACCCCTGGCTTCGACCAGACTATCGCCGCCCTCCCCAGCATTCCCCAGCGCCCCTGCCAGGGCTCGAGACCACGGCCAGCAGCAATCATGGAGCCTTCCCCGGTTTCGGCAGCGCTGGGTGGTGTACAGTAGGTTCGTGTCGTGTCGACCGGCGGCGACCCCGCCAGCGGCGTTCAACGTTGAACGCCGCGGGCGACCCAGAATCGTTCGATGTGGAACGATTTGGACGCTTCGGAGTCGGCCGATCGTTCAAGGTTGAACGATCCCCGCGGTGTCAGAAACCAACGCCGAAGTCGGCACGACACGAACCCGCCGTAATCTCCCTGATGCGCGGGTCGCCCTGCGGTGCCGGAGAGCGTCGGGCAGGCGCGCACGTGTGGCTGGACGGCCGTGCGCGGGCGCGCGCGGCCCTGCAGTCGCGCGTGCCGGGGCGATGGTTGGATCACCCTGGCCTGGCACGGGCCAGAGCGCGGACGTGGACGTGCTACTGTGAACGGTGGAAGTCTAGGCCTCCTGTATGAGGTCGGAGTAGATGGGGTCGGAGGATGGCGCCGCATCGGCGATGCATCGGCGATGAGGCTCGATGCGGAGCCCGATTTGCTTCACGTCGACGTTGCCGACGAATCGCCCACATCGGTGATGCATCGCCTGTGCATCGCCAATACATCGCCGATGCATCGCCGATGTATCTGCGATTCGGCGCGATCCTCCGACCCCACCTACTCCGACCCCTTCTAGGAGGCCTATACGGAACACGACCCCAACTCCCACAGCAATGGATGTTATATGTCAACGTTTTGCAATTCTGGCGAATGTGCGAAGGTGCAGGCGCCCTGTAAGCGATGCCATTACCAGCTGCCGAGGGGGGGTCGCGCGCGCGGTCTAGTTGGTCTAAAGTTCCACATGTGGGGGGCGGGGGGCGGTTTTCATGCTTTCATACAGTCAAGAGACGTCGGGTTCGGAATGGTCTAGCTGTTTCTTCGGTCCTTGCCTGGTTGATCGAGCGTTTCTCGTGCACCCAGGCTCTCCTGCGTCCAGAAATTGAGCCTCCGATTTGGCGCTGCTTGCGGTAGTAGTTTGACTGTACCTGTGTCGCCCAAAGCGTGGAAACCAGAGAAACACAACGCCGTCCTCGCACGTACCCACATGCAGCGGAAGCGAGCTCGCGACCCCAGGCTCTGCATGTCGGTTCGCCCATTGCAGGTTGGATTCACGTGATTATGGGCTCGTTCAGTGCGTCTTGCCGGCACCATCATTCACAGAGGCCCGCGATCGATGCTATGGGAAAAAAAGGCCCCCCAAACCAAGTGATGCAGATGTGTGACCCCATCCGTTTACAACCCCTCCCGTTTCGTCCACCCCTGGCGTGCGGTTGCTGGGGAGGCACCTGGCACCTTGTTTGCGGTGGTGGCACGCGAAGATCGGCATCGCTGTGGTCCTGTCGCCCGCCGAGGCCGACGGGAGTGCGAGGAATGAGCAGATCGAGCAGCAATGGAGGCAGCGGTCGGTGAGTACTTCTTTTGGGTGTTCGATCATCGACCATTTGTTGAGCGCAACCATTTCGCTTTTGCGCCGAAGGCCGCCCAAGGCCGATGGGTCACAAGGAGTTCATGGTCGAGCTCGTGGCTCCTCCAGCGACTCGCAAGCAGTGCTGGTTGAGTGTGCCTATCGCCCCATCTTGGTAGTCCGTCGGGCAGCCCCCTCGCAGTCCTACGTGGCTCCATGTCCCTGTATATGTATGTTCATGTTTGTGTTCTGCCCGCCTTTCTCGCGCCCATCCCTTTGTCCAGCAGGTAGAGACGTTGGAGAACTTCCTTGCGTTGGTGGATTCACTTCCGGATGTCCCTTCGCTCTTTATCTTTTGTAGTATTTCCCCTTGCTCGTGCGCTGACCTTCCACTGAGTTGCCGAGATGGCTGTTATGCAGTATTTCCGCATGTTGGGCAGATTCCCGCGTGATTTCGTCAGCGCCCTTGCAATCCTTTCCGTCGCATGTGACAAGAGCTTAACATGGCAGAGACAACAGGCGGTTCATAGAAAATCCGAGATTTGTGCACTGACTTTGGGAAGTTAATCCTTTTGCGCTGCCGCGGGAATCCGTCACCTCGCTCGTTCAGGCGTTTGTCGGAGATGGTTATATGAAAGGCTCAACCCGAATTTCTCATTCAGGCCCTATGTCCTGGTTGGAAGGCAAAGGACCCAGAGACTGGGCCTGATAAGCGGACGAACGTTGGGATCGATGCGTCGGGGGAGGGGGGGGAGCTTGGCGTCGTAAAGAATTTCAGCTGCCAGCGTGGTGGCGGATTGGTTTCTGAGGGGACCCACCAGGTTCCAATGGTTTCAGTAGGTCGTGTCGTGGGTTTATATGCAGGGTCTGCTACGTCAATCCTGCCTCCCGTAGGTCCATCGGCAGATGCATTACAGTTGTCGTGGGCCGCTTGGTTTACTGGAAGTCGACTGTTGCCGTTACAGAATCCCACATGCACGGGCGAAGGGGGCCTTCTCGAAGCCCTTGGGAAGCACCAAGTAGCCGTTGCCGCTCGTTGTTTTCGTCTGTTTGCTGGAGCATTCCAGGCATCATTGCACATTCAGCTGAGTTGAAGCGGTTGCTTGCGCCATTCAGGACGTGGTGGTTCGTGCTGAGATTGCAGATACTTACTCCGAGGTGGTGCGAGAGAGTTTCTCATACTCGTTTCTACATTTCATCAGCCTTGTAGTCAAGCGTTCCTTGTAGTATCAGGGCTCGCAGTTGCCTGCCATGCGCATGTTTCATTGCAGCAAGCATCGTGGCATGATATCTGTTGGCTTCTTCGAACTTGAGCTCTGACGTGAGTGCGCCGAACGATTCAGCTTTTAAGCGTGGTGTGTTCGAGGAACACTACATTATGCTTCCATTCGAAATTGGTTCGAGTTCGAGTGAACCTACCTTGCAGGCATTCCTGCTCCTCCCCCCCACCCCGTCCCTCTCTCATGTTCCCAGGCGGGCTCTCCATCCTCCTCGGCGTGCGGACGTATTGGGTGGTGTTTCCTCTCCTCCGCTTCCTCCTCCTCCTCCTCCTCCTCCTCCTCCTCCTCCTCATCCGTCCTCCTCCTCCTCCTCCACCTCCTCCGATTTCGCCACACCTCCCGCCATTCTGGCGAGTATGCGCCTGCTGGACTGCTGCAGGCCTATGGAGGTGAGAAGGGGCATGGAGCCCTCCAGGCTTTTGCAGTTTCCCTGCCCGATCTTTCCGCTCTCCAGCTCTCCTCCAACTCTCCTCCTCCCACTCCTCCTCCTCCATCTCCTCCTCCTCCTCCTCCTCCTCCTCCTCCTCCTCCTCCTCCTCCTCCTCCTCCTCCTCCTCCTCAACCGGACTCTGGCCGGCTGGGCGCAGCGAACTCCTTTTTGACTTTTTTGACCCTTGAAAGCCTTTCAGGGGGGAAGTGCTAAGGACAGGTCTTCTCAGGAGGCAGTGGGGCTTCTCAGAAGCCCTCGCGCCTTCTGAGAAGTCTTCGGCGTTTTCGGGGAAGGCTTAGCACGCTTCTTTGAAGGTCAGGGGACTTGAGGGACGCAGGGAGGCAGAAGGGCGAGCCGGAGGAGGAGACGGAGGAGGAGGAGGAAGAGGAAGAGGAGGAGGAGGGGAATGAGGAGGACGCCGAACCTTCTGAGAAGGCCTCCTCCTTCTCACTTCCCCCCCTCGCTCGCCGCCGACCAGCAGAGTGGCCCTCTGCCGCGGGTGGTCGTGACAGCACTGGCCAGTGGCTCCAGATCGGTCGGGGTTCCGCCCCGAGGCGGGAGGTGTTCCTCCTTCTTCTTCCCCTCCTCCTCCCTCTCCCCCTTCCTCCTCCTCCTCCTCCTCCTCCTCCCCCCTCCTCCTCCTCCTCCTCCTCCTCCTCCCCTTCCTTCTCCTTCCCCTTCTCCCCCCTCTCCCCCTTCCCTTCCGCCTCCTCCCCTTCCTCCGTCTCCTCCTCTTTCTCCTCCTCTTCTCCTCTTCCACCTCCTCCTCCTCCTCCTCCTCCTCCTCCTCCTCCTCCTCCTTCCCTCCTCCCCCTCCTGCCCCTCCCCTCCTCCTCCTCCACATCCTCCTCCACCTCCTTCTCCCCCTCCGCTCCTCCTCCTCCCTCCTCCTCCTCCTCCTCCTCTCCTTCTTCTCCTCCTCCTCCTCCTCCTCCTCCTCCTCCTCCTCCTCCTCCTCCTCCCCTCATCATCCTCCTCCGCATCATCCTCTTCCTTCTCATCATCATTATCACCATCATCAGCATCATCATCAGCCTCATCATCATCATCATCATCATCATCATCATCATCATCATCATCATCATCATCATCATCAACATCAACATCATCATCAGCAGCATCATCACCATCATCAGCATCATCATCATCGTCATCATCATCATCATCATCGTCATCATCATCATCGTCATCATCATCATCATCATCCTCATCATCATCATCATTATCATCATCATCAGTACCGTCATCATCATCATCAGCTCCATCGTCTCTATCGTCATCATTATCATCATCTTCATCAGCATCATCATCATACTCATTATCATCATCATCATCATCATCATCATCATCATCCCCATCAGCATCATCATCATCATCATCATCATCATCAGTATCATCATCGTTCTCACCATCAACACCATCATCACCTATCATCATCACCATCACCATCATCATCATCATCATCATCATCATCATCATCATCATCATCACCATCATCAGCATCATCATCATCATCATCATCATAGCCATTTTCTCAAGCTTGCTGAGGCGCGTGGCTTTGGGCAGGTGCGCACCTGCTTCCCTCGGTTCCCTTCTCCCGTGCACCCATGGTGATCGAGGCGCGGCTCGCGATGCTGGAGGCCAAGATTCGTTCCGGGTTCGTGGTCTCTCTTACCTTCGTTCCGCAAGAGTCGGGCATGGTCAAGTTCAAGGCCGTTGTTCACCCTAAACGTGCACACGCTGGACACGCGGGTATTCAGCTTCTCTTGAGGATTATTGAGGACGTTCGCGATCATCTCGACCGCATGGTCGCTATCGACCGCGGTCACCACTTCAGCAACGGCTTCGATGAGGTCAACGTTTGGTTTCGCCCACACCACCCCGCTCAGGATAATGGCTTTCCGCCTGGTGGTGGGCCTCCCGATAGCAGCGACGGTGGTGATCAGCAGGATGGGGACAAAGGTGAGCGCCATGATGGTGGTGCTGATTCAGACCGCTGCTCGGATCCTGGCAGGGGTCAGCCTCGTGAGAGCCCTGTGGCTCGGCGGGCAGGCGGCCCCTTTTCGTCTGGTGGACGGCGGGTGCGTCCGAGGAGGCGCGACGACCAGACCGTCCTGGCGCTCCCCTCGGTGCCGGTTTTCCCCTCGTGGGAGG